CAGATTTATAGCTGTGAGGCTCAACATTGCCATCAGGTGGTCGCCTCTGCACAGGCAGATTTGTTGAACGACACAAATGGGAACCAACACAAACAGACTCATCTCCTGCCAGTGATCAAGTTTTAAATAAGAGAGATCAGCTGGCACTTGAAATGCCGAGAGGAGCGTTTTTTTTCCTGATGACTCGCCTGGCTGCTATGACGGGGATCCATGGTGTGAGCTCGTCCGAGTGGTTCCCAATCAGCCAGTCTGTGCCCGGGAACAAGAAGCTCTCGCTTGGAGTAATTGCCTTTTCCTAAAATAGACGCAAAAAAAAAGCACAAGAGCTTCTCAGAGAGGGGGAAGTTGCAAATTGGCACGATTTGCACTTCTAAGAACGTGGGAAGTTGTTGGGATCGTTTCCAGACAAAAAGCGGAGCGCGGCGGTTAAATCGGACAATATTCAGCCGAGCCATCTTTTTTTGGTGTCTTTCTTCGAAAAGCTGTAGAGAACACAGAGCTACAACCAAAGCTACTCTAGCTCCGAATTGGTACAAAGCCTTTTTATGTCTCAACGGGCCGCCGCAATAACGGGAAAAAATTATCCACGTCCAGAGCACCGGCGCTCGTGAGGTTAGGAGACCTTCAAAATGAAGGTCCAGAGCCGAGTACGGCAGCCCCTGAGGGCCCAGAAATATTGGTCTGCCACATCCGCCCGCAAGAATCAGTCAATAATAGATGACTTGAGATGGGAGCAGTCAGCAGTCGGTTGTCAAATGAGGGATTGAGGCCATGAGGCAGACGGGGAAGCACAGCGTTTTGGGGACAGGCTTCCCTGCAAATATGTGCCTGAATTTCTGCTTTAGGCCACAAACGCGCGCACGTTGTTTACTTCCATCAGCTGGGAGAATTTGTCGACGTGGACATGTGCTTTTTCATTGTCCTCTGCATATTTTAAAGTGCCATTTTTGTGAAAAAAATCGATGCTGAAGACTCTAATGCGTAATTTTGTTTTAATGATCGAACGCCCACGGTGAGACCATTTCACTGGAGGAGGAAGAGCCCTGCCCGCTCACCTCCAGCACGGTCTGGGGGCCGTACATGTCCCAGATCCTCCTCCTCCGGACGTCGATGCCCTTTCCAGGGTGCTGCAACACACGGCGTCGACACAGTCAGCGGCTAATCCGGCTCAGCCACCTAAAGTTCACACTCTGGCAGTGGTGTGTAATTACTCAGGGTCCCTGCACCTGGACTCAGGCCAGCCCTGTGTTATTGATTAGCCTATATTCTTGGTCAATTACATGAAAAAAAGTCTGATTAACTAAAGAAAAGAAGTGAGGATTCTCTCTATTTAAACCCTTACATTTAATCTATGGTTTATAGCAATTACAATCGCCTTTTGGGTACCAAATAAAAGTCTACTTCAAGAGCCAAACCAATGCATTCCGTGTCAGACCGATGTCTCCATGCTAAACCTTTATCAATCTAAACGTAGCAGCCCCTAACTTACGCCTTCATTTGTGAGGATGTGCACCAGAAGGCCGTTTCCACAGCCGAGGTCCACAAAGGACTGGCTGTCCGCCAGGCCCCTCTCCGCTCTCTCCTCAGCCCACAGCACCTGCAGCCACAGATACGGAGCCTCAGCACCGCCGCCAGCCCAGAAAAGCTTTCGATCGCTGCAGTAAGATCCGATTTACAGCTGAAGCGTGACACCTGCTGCCGCCGCCGCCGGCCTTTCATCTGCCTCGAGCGTGACGCATCAGCTGATTCAGTGGGATTAGGCTCAGATTGATTGACCTACCTGTCGTTGCATCACATAACAGTATGGAACCTCAAAATCCCAATTTAGAAAAAAAATAAAACAACTAACGCTACACAATGGAAAGTTATTCTAGTAATTAAACATTAATAACCAGGTTTGAACTCACCAGGAGATATGTTGCTATAGCAACGTCCTCATACACAAACTTCTCGGGATCTGTAACCTCTGGCCAAACCTAGAAATCCAGTTATAAAAAGATTATAAGATAATCTTTTTTCTTTTTTTTTTTTTATCAGATCCAAACATTGAGTGGATAATAAGAGCCTTCTTCACCTTGACCATGGCTTTGTACTTCTCCTTCAGCTGCTGGTACTTGAGGCTGTACTTCTCCACGGGCAGCAGAGACAGCGTGCTCTTGAACTCGCTGCCCTTGCACTCGGCGGCCCAGCGCACCAGTTTGGGCAGCAGGTCTGAGGACAACCAGGGCAGCTTCGGGTAGGCAACGCCATCGGAGAACCACGCATCAGCGGCCAGCACATGCAGCTCCAAAGCCCTGAGGATGGTGTCGACCACAGTGTCTGTGTAAACTATATTCACCACTATACACAAATATATAGACATAGACATCTAATACAGCGTTATAACATTGTATTAGATACACTCTTTACATACAAAACTTTCATTGTTCAATGAATTTGAGGAAAATTGCTACTGAAAAAAAATTAAAGGGGTACGGGGTTTTTTTAATACTATTTTTGATCATTTTTTTCCAATCTGAGATCCCTTACTCACCAGTCTTCACAACCATGATTGATGAGCCTGATCAGATGAATGTTGCCTTTCTTCAATGACACACGCCCTTCTGCATCCTCCTCAAATGGCAGAAAGGTTACCTGTTGCAGGTCAAAGTCTGTAAAGAGTTTAAAAAGGCATCACCAGTGCACAGAGTTGACCCAGACTGTAGTTTGAGTAAGACTTTTACCTTTCAGCACGACTTCTTTTTGCGCCTTTGGTCCATAACAGCTCACTTTGGGGATGAAGGTTCTGACACTGGAAGACCACGTTTCTTTTTCGTGTGCTTGTGTGGATGAATTCCCTCTGGAGAGGAACAACATCACATCCTGACAGAGGTCCACGTTTCCCAGCAGGGAGCGCAGCTCCTCAGTGTCCACATCTCTGCTCTCCGTCTCTTTGACTCCGCAAAGGCGCTTATTGACAACGTGAGGCTTCTTAACCCACACGTCCACTGCTGACCAGAAGCCTTCGGGAAGGGTCCTGCATTCCCCAGGAAACTTCAAATCGAAAAGTTTGGGCATACCTGAGCACCAGAGGCGACCACGAGATTGGTTTTAACGATCGCTGACTGAACTTCCGGAACTTTTGTTATACGTGTCATCTGGTCATTTTCAAACAGCCGGACGTGTTTATACTGGTCTTTGTTGTTTAAACAACTATTGAAGTATGAGTTGGAAAAAAAAATCTAAGTTTGGTTTCGTGTTTATGGGACCGGTGTGATCTTGTCGCTAGGTGATGACGTTTGGAAAGCGACGGATGAACTACGTCACAATGACGCGCCTCATTATTTATACAGACGCAATCAGCACCTAAATTAGAATCATCATGCTACATTTCCCGTGTTTTGAAAACCCAATATGAAAGAAAAAGAATAGTTTGATTTTCACTTTAATATTGGCTAGGCTGAATTCTCTTTTTTTAATCGCATTTCGTTTCCTATCACATTAACAAAGTTCTGAGTTTAATTTAAACAATAACGAGAGGGTAATTTTTTGGACTTTGTTTTCTGGTTTCCCCAGAACCATTTTGAAATAATGACTATGATACGTATCCATAGGGGAACACTACCTATCCCTGAAGCAGTTCTTTGTCATGTTTCTGTTCAGGTTACATTGTTCAGAAATCTTGGGACTATCACATGTCCCTGTTTCAACACACGACTGAATTCTGATCATTGTGTGCCAAGTCACCACTCATTTAGTCAGAGTTCTTTTCTTTTCTCACTCATTAAGCTCATAGTCTCACCCGCTGACGCTGGGCTGACTTGTAAAAAAAAGAATAGTAAAAATACAGTACATTCCGCATATCAGCCTCTGACTCTGTTGTTGTTCGTATTCACGTGTAACTGACGCATGTGCTCTCAATACCTGTCAAGTGGGTTATGGATGACTTGCTGAAGTTATGTTTAATTCTAGTACTTCAGTTTTTCAGCTGATCATTAATAGTGTTTGTTTTGTCTGTCGTTTAAGGGCATATATTTATCACGGCACCAGGTCATATTTAGTTATCGCACACCCTTTAATGGTCAGTTTTAAGCAAATGAAAGAAGTGAAAATAGATCGTCAAGGTTGCCCATGTCAGCCTCTTTGAATGGGAGCTCTACTGAAGTCCATTATGTGTGTTGAGTAATTCAGGCAGACCAATAGGGCGGAGTGACTTGGAAAGACACTGTACCAGGAGGTGCAAAGTTCAAAGAGATCCTGCACTTCACCGCCTAGTTTGTATTCAAATGACAGGGCTGAAAAATCCTGCCAAACTTGCTTGACAACGGTTAGTTTGGAAGACAGCGAGATAGACTGAAAAGCATTTGTGCTTCTATATTTGACTCACTGGAAAGTTTCGTCTGAGTGTAGATATAATTAAATATTGACAATAGAATGAATCAGTCATAATTTTAAGTAAACACAACAAGTTATGTGTCATTTAAGAGCATGTATTCCGTGCAAAGTAGGTCCACAACAAATGAGTTGTTGTCGAATGTTTCATTAGAAAGCGGTGTCCAAAAGTTCCAAGATTGACTATTATGAACAGACAGGAAACAAAAACTGAGACAAACAAATCCCGAAATCTTGGAGAATTATCAAATGGAAAACAATGTTTTATGTTTGTTAGCTAGCACGAATGGTTTCATTCTAAACTTCTTCCCAGAATTAACAAGAGCAGGAAGGACATACTTTCTTTTTTTTTTTTTTACTTAATCATGTTGCCTTTAAATGGTATTTTCCACTCAATAATATTAGGCCTTTCACATGAAAAGTTCTGTCCACTTGTGCATTAGTCAGTTTCATTTAGCTAAATTTGTTTTTAGCTTGATAGCTAAAATGAGATCATATTTATGTCATCTTCTAATTATACAAAGGAGATCAATTCTATTTAAGCTAATTTATAATGTTACTAACTACTTTAGGAAAGACCATATATTATCCTTGTTATCAAAAGTTGCCTAATCATAACCAACATGAACAGAGCCCTTTTAGCCTTCCAGCTAACGCCTGTTAGCATTCAACTTTTGACTGCATCCTTTACTTTTACTTAAAAAAGAAATAATTATAAATCAGACATTCTGCTATTGCATTCATACAAGACTAAAAAATGTTATCTATGTCGTTGTTTGTCCGCACATGACTCCACACAGCGTCAGCTTTTACCTGAAGCTCAGGTGAGATAAGTCGGGATGGGTGTGGTCTGCTGTGAGAGGAAGAGGAAGAGGAGGGAGCGCAGGTAGAGCACAGGTAGACTTTCTACGAACTGCAAATACAAGTCCACTGAACTCGGCTTAGTTAAAGAAAGAAGAAGAAAAAAAGAAAAAAACTAATTTGGATTTATCGCAGGCAAATTGCCAGACGTTGGACAGCGTTTGAAAGGAGGGCTGGAGGTGAGACTTGTTGCCAATCTCCTCTCGACGTCGCTGGAAGTTTCGGAGCCGACATGGATCACCTGTCTCTGGGCGTGAGGGGGTGAAGGCTGCTGGGCTCCCATTCCGTTTGGTTCAAGGTAAACATCACACATTTATCTGTCCGTCCCAAAGGCTAAAGGAACAAGAAAAACAGCATGTTCTGTGAAATAAGTGGGCATAAACGTTTTTTTGATACTTTTGACTTATGTAGTTAAGTTATAAGTGTAAAATGCTCTTTTTACTACACTTCTAAGATTTCAGAGTCCCAACCTGAATCTTTATAAGTGCTGCAATATATGAATGTGATTAAGTAATAAGGATATTTAATGTTTTTATCTCTCTTCACTCTGTTTAGATAGCCAGGTATGTCTTAAACAACCATATATATATATATACACAGTGGGGGAAATAAGTATTTGACCCCTTGCTGATTTTGCCGGTTTGCCCACTTACAAAGAATGCAACGGTATATAACTTTAATCATATGTACATTCTAACAGTGAAAATCAGAATCCCAAAGAAAATTCCAGAAAATCACATCATATGAATTTATAAAAATTAATAACCATCTGATGAGGAAAAATAAGCATTCTTTGTAAGTGGGCAAACCTGCAAAATCACCAAAGGGTCAAATACTTATTTCCCCCACTGTATATATATATATATATATATATAACAATGAGAGATCTTGATCTAAGCCTATTTAGAAAATATGGTCTATTGATGTAAGTAATTTGACCAAGAGCGTTTACAGCTGATCAATGTTGTTGCAATGCAGAATACCCTGTTTATAACAATATCATAGCTGTAATATAATACTGCTCTTTAGAATGCAGGTAGCCTATACTCCGCTGAGAGGAACACCCTTCATGTTTTTAATAAAGCTGTTTTAATAACGCTGTCGTTATCTAATACTACAGTTAATCTCGGAGTGATCAACACTCGGTAGAAATCCCATTTCTCTAGATTTGCCTCAACTGGAGTGGATCAATTTCTGATCTTGCTCCTGGAGCAGAGCATAGGAAGCAGGGTAAACAAATGGGTCATCTGTAGGATAAACAACCCGGTTGTTCATTTGACATCACAAACGTGCCATAACCGTCGGACCAGTTATGCAGAGGGCTTTTCAGTAACTTTCAGCTCTTTGTCCAATACGCCGTGGGATGGAGAGGATTCCTGAGCGGTAGCTGAACGGGTTAAACATTCATCGTTCTGTACACAGAGGGATTGATCACAGGCCCCTCTGTTTGCCAGAGCGCACGACGGAGTGGGATGCTTTCGTTTTGAAGTTAAACCTGAAACGCAAAGTATTCGCCTCCTGTTAATTCGGCCTAAGTGACCACTGACCCGGGAGTGCGAGCCCGGACTCATCCGTCCTTTGACTGGAAGCAGTAAGGCGGCTCAGCCCACTTGTTCCCGCTCGTCATTTGGTCGCTGCTCATTTTTGGGAGACTGGCAGAAAGGAAAATATTGAATGTATCGCTCACTCACACCTGCTGCGCTCTGTCTACTGATAAGGGGGTGATTTATGGTTGCAAACCTTCAGTTAGTTAAATAGGAGGAGGTGGAGATTATATCTAGAAGCAGAGGAATTTGCCTCATTAATGTTGGAGCGGGGGAGTTTCTCACCCACCGTGTTGTACTCGTGACTCAGACTCATGTAACTACCTTTTTTTTGTAAACGGTGTTAGTAATGGTAGCTCATTTAAGACAGGAAATAGTTCATTAGGAGAGCTTTTCATGGTGTTCTTGCTGCTTCTTCAGGATTTTAGCACATTCTGTCTCTTCATTAGTTCCATAAATGCTGTGTGTTCAGGCTCCAGTAAGACTGGTTGCCCTAAACCAGTGACAAGCTACTGCTTCCACCTCACATTTTTTCCTCAGTGCTGCACAATTCTCCGCAGGATTGTTGACTCAGAGGGTTTTCCATTGCAAGAAACTGATCTGAAACTCATCCGAGCTGTGCACTCCCATATCCACGCTTCTGAGGAAATCTATCTTCTTGTTTTGTTTGTTTGCTTCCTGTCTTATCATCTCCGTCTTTCTCTTTCACTCACATCTTTATCTTTCTTCTTGGTGAAGCGACCTGTAAGTGTATTTCTTCCTCTTTTCGCAATCAGTGACGCTGAACGTGATCAGCAGAAAACCCTAAATTGGTAAATGGTATGAAATTCCCACTCACACATAGGAAAAAAAACAAGTACTTAAAGTAGGTGCTCAGCTGAAAGCTGAACAATGCCCCTCTCTGCATCTCACACCAGGGGCTTTTTGTTAGGTCTCCATGGCAACTGAACAAGATTTGAGTGGGAGTGAAGTTACGCTTATACATGGTCTTTAATGAGAAGGCAAACTCTGAGACACAGCAACTTTTCTCCGCTACCCACAGGTTCCCCCCCCTCCTTCGGTCTCTGGCTTTTAAAAAACGTAGGTTGACTTTTGTAGCCTTTTTATAGCTTGAGCAACTGTTCCCTGCTGCAGGCTGGTCATCAGGGTCATGCTGATGGACCAGGACACTCAGTGGCTGTACCAGCTCCTGGCTGAGGTCCAGCTGGAGAAATTCTACCTGCGAATCCGGGACCGCCTCAACATCACGCGCATCGAGCACTTTGCCTACGTCAAGGAGGCCGACCTGGAGCAGATAGGGATCAGCAAGCCCGGTGAGGCCCCTCTCTGCCCGGCCCGTAACAGCTGCCGGCGGCCGGCCGGCGGCTGGAGAGCTCTGCTCCGGTTCAGTAATGGACGGCTCGCAGAGCAGATATAGGAGCGCTCCACTTAGCCGGTTTGACTCTAAAAAGCCACAAATCGATACAGGGTTTTTTATTATTGATGGCACACTTTAATAAAGTGTTTTGCCCAAAAAAAAAACAATTCTTATATCTTCATTAAGCCCGATCCTCTGGCTTTTGTCTGCTTCTGAGGTTCGGCCATTGTGAGGTCTACGAATTTGGTCTTACTTTAGATTCAAAGCATCCAATGTTTGAGAAAATCCTCACAATCGATACATTTTCATGAATTATTAAAGTAGTCCCAGAGAGCCGTAAAGGCAGTAAAATAGAGTTTATGTATGTGCTTGAATGTTCTAAGTCCTTTGTTTCCCGCCTGCAGCTCAAAGACGGTTATGGGACGCTCTGAAACGCTACAAGACACGTTCGCGGGCATGGCCCACCAAGGTCTGACCACCTCCCCCCCCCCCCCGTACATCAGCTCTGGCAGAGCTGGTTTAGTCTGAACGGTGTCAGGAGGTTTGTGTTTTTCATGGCTTTATCGACGCACGCAGGTGTCCAAAAGTCCGGAGGAGCCGTGGAGCGGAGGCGCCCAGGACGCCGGCGGCCGGGCTCTGCCAAGTCTGATCCAAGACTGCGAGCTGATTCTGGGGGAGAGGCTGGGCTCGGGGTCCTTTGGGGTGGTCAAGAAGGCAGAGTGGCACACCCCCACCGGGCGGGTGGTAAGAGACCTGACCGGAGATCAGTCCTATTTGAGCTTCTTTTCCATCTTCTTTATATAGTATCGAACGCTCTGTACTTTAAACCAATATAAACCAACAATCAGAGGTTTAGATACATCACTCATTCAAAATATATTGAAAAAATCCGTCCAAACAGGCAGTTAAATTGTTTAAGGGTCAATAGACTTTGGAATAGATGGTACATACAGTATGTGATATTCAGTCGTTGGTAATTGAATAATCACCTTAGCAACAAATATTCAACAACAAGATAATTGCATGATTTTGAGCTTTGTGGTTTTTGTTTTAGCGCCCCAGGCTGTTCATCCTGATTTCTCTAAACCTGCTTCATGTGTAAACGTGTAATTACTGGCTCTTTCAGTAGTCTGTGAGAGAAATGTTTTTTACTTGTGCAACCAGGACCCACGAGTCGCAAACCTACATTTCACCCTCTTTCAGGCTGTACACTCTAACCCAGAGCTACATTTGTGTTGTTTTGTCTCCCAGTTGCCTGTAGCCGTTAAATCCCTGAGGAGCAGCATGTCCAGGCATACGGACACACTGACGGACTTCCTCCAGGAAGTCACCACCATGCAGTCCTTAGACCACCCCAACATCATCAGGCTCTACGGGGTGGTGCTCACACAGCCCCTCAAGATGGTAAGACCGCATTTGGGCGGAAATGACGTACTAATATGCTTGTTTTAAGGGCATAAATGCTCATCTGACTTTCTTTGTCCCCCTCAGGTGACGGAGCTGGCCCCCCTGGGCTCGCTGTACGACACCCTCCGCTCCCGTCAGTACGAGTACCCGCTGCTCCGCCTCTGGCTCTTTGCCACCCAGATCGTGGCGGGTATGGAGTACCTGGAGACCCGGCGCTACATCCACCGGGACCTGGCGGCGCGGAACGTGCTGCTGGCCTCCCGGGACACGGTGAAGATCGGGGACTTCGGCCTGATGCGGGGTCTGAACCAGGACAGGGACCACTACGTCATGTCGGCGCACAAACGGATCCCGTTCGCATGGTGGGGGGAAAGAAAATCCCTAAAGTCTGGGATGGGGGGATGTGATGCGTGGCGCGTTCCTGACGTTTAGCCGCTTCTCCCCCCCAGGTGTGCCCCGGAAAGCCTGCGCGTGGGCTCCTTCTCCCACGCCTCGGACGTCTGGATGTTGGGCGTCACCCTGTGGGAGATGTTCACCTACTGTGAGGAGCCGTGGTTCGGGCTGTCGGGCCGGCAGGTGAGCACATGTCAGCGTTGGAACTTTGTTCCGCCACGCTGTTTGCCTCCAGTCGGGAATGTGCGTCCCCGCCCTTGCGCCATTATTTCCCTCTGTCTCTTCTGGGTGTATCGTACACGTAACCGGGTGCCCTTTCTTTGTCAGGCTGCTCCTCACTGCTGCACGGCTTTGGTGTAGCAATTAATTCCTTCCCCCTTGCATACTGAAACAGTTCCTGACATTAAACCTTTTCCTCTCTTATTTGTGCTCCTGTTTGCAGTTTCAATCGTGTTTTTTTTTTTCTGAGTCTCACAATCTCTTTGCTTTGCTGCAGATTTTGTGGCGGGTGGAACGGGAGGGCGAGCGGCTGGAGAAGCCGCCGGACTGCCCTCAGGAGCTGTACGCCGTCATGAAGATGTGCTGGGCCTGCAGCCCGTCAGACAGGCCCAGCTTCGCCCAGCTCACCGCCATAGTGGCAGAGGCCAAACCCGCGGAGGTCCTGGCCACCAGGGACTTTTCCGAGCCCAGGAAACTGCCGCTGGCGGCCGGAGACGCCGTCACCGTCGTCGATCACGGGTGGGTGAGGGAGACGAGTGGGACAAAAGGGCCAAGAGGAAAAAATTCACCTGCCACAAAAGGCTTTTGTTTGGGTGCTGCAAAAGTGCATTCCAGCCCCTCACTGGCATCGAGTCTTCAAACGCTTTCTTAGCTTTTTGCGTTGAACGAGTTGGGCAGCTTTCTCTCTCTGTCCTCACCGAGCCGCTTCAGTTCCACAGGACTTTTGCCTGTCTTTGCTGTGCCAAAATCAAAGGGAAACGTTCCAAAACGCTGATCGCAAAGCATGCATGAGATAGATGGACATGATCTTTTAGAAGGATAGGAGTTTAGTCATCCATTGAGAACGCACCAAAAAAGAGCTGAATACACTCGCCAGCTTTAGCCTGTTGTGTGTGGTCACTTTAAAGATCATCATTCACTTCACTGTCTTGCTCAGCATATATCCTAACTGCACACAGCACACTTTAAAAAAGAGGAAAAACTAAAAAATTAAAAAAAAATTGAATTAAAATTAGTATACACGGGATTCTCATCAACGCGTGTCCCTGTGCTTGTGCAGTCTGGAGCTGAGCGAGTGGCGAGGCCAGAACCAGAGGACGCTGGCGGTGGGCTGGTTTCCCGCCAGCCTCACCGCCCCTTCCGGCGGCGCGGCGCCCAACCCGCCGCCGGCCAGCTCGCCCCACATCTCGGCGCCGCTGAAGGGCAGCCTGCAGCACAAGGGCCACGGAGACCTCCACCCCGACCGCTGCTGGGGAGCGCCAGAGAGGCTGGACGAGTCAGTGACCCCCCCGCTAAGTCCTCCCGTTAAGCTCAAGATGGACAGGGACCCTCTCGAACAGCATACAGTAGAACCTCTACATACGAATTTAATTTGTTCAAGGGCCGACTTCGTATGATAAAATATTCGTATGTTGGTTCAAATATTCCCATAAGTATACACTGTAATTCGTATAATTCGTTCCACAGCCCAAAATCCTACGATAACCCCTCAATAAATACTAGAGTTAATTACACATAGCAATAAAACAAATTTATTTTATAAGAGAGATGTAAAAAGAAATCAATTATAAAGAAATTATCAATAAAAAGGGGTTTTATTTGCCCTTTACCTCAGAGACCGGCGAATGTCAGTAGAGGCTGAGATACAGGACGTACTTACTTTAACTTTCACTACGTGAAAATTAAACTAACTTAGCCTATTTATTTTTATTCAATTTTTAATATTTTTTTCTATGACTTCTACACCATACGTATGTTGGAAAAATTTACTCTGGGTGTCAAGTCGAATATTTGATCAAATTTCACTTGGGTTTTTGGAAATTTGTATCTTTAGGCATCGTAAGTAGAGGTTCTGCTGTATTTCCTGTGTCGTTTTAGCGTTGCTATTTGGGAATGTAGATACATATCTTGAAGGGGGAGGTGTGTATGGTTGGCCTGACTCAGTTAAAGTTGAGGCAGGAAAGAAGCTTTTGTTTAACTGAAAAACACACCATCACATCCGATCCGTTTCCAGCCATCTTAACTGTCAGTGTTTTTTTGGTTAGTTGCCTCTCTCTGGTGATTTATTCTTGTTGCTAAAAATAACCAGCACAAGAAATCCATGGGTGACTGGGTTTTATTTGACCAGGCTAACTGCTGACCTTTGACCTGCTGTCAGTCTGATGGTTGTTCCGTTGTTGTTTGTCCTGCAGCGGCAGCAGCTCCAGGCCGGGACCCGGGAGAGAGAGGGAGGGATCCAACCTGCAGAGCATGATGGGTAGGCACCCAAAACACAACCCACCGACAGCTCTCATGCTGTGGGCGGGTTTCCCCCCAGTCAGCCGGCTGGACCGGCTCATTATGCTCTCTTTAAACTGCAGACATATTAAGTGTGTTACAACTCCAGGTGATGGCTGCTCCACTTACAGCCACTTTACTCAACCCGTTTGTGGTATGTTTTAAATAGCCAGAACATCCGGCTGCTAAACCAGGTCGTTCTGTTTATTGATTCTCATTTTCTCCAGCATAAAACCGCTAATTGCGAGGGCTGAACAGCTTCTACACTGATGGCACGGCACAGATCCTGTAAAAGTGCCCATATTAGATAGATAGATAGATAGATAGATAGATAGATAGATAGATAGATAG